ATGTCCGTTGCCCATTCCTGGGCTTTAGTTAGAATGTGGACGTCTTGACCCTTTGTCCTTTGTAAACTGCTGTGGATCTGTCCTGTCCTCTGTGTTCCTATGCCCACGGAGCAAAGTATACTCTTGGCTACTATTTACTGAATGTTTACTGGGGGTAGGCACTATGCTAAACTCTTCACATGAATTAATTCATTTAATCCCCACTCAACCCCAAGAGGTAAATACTATTTTAAACCCTCTTTTAAAAAAAAATCCTCACCCGAGGATATTTTCCCACTGATTTTTAGAGAGAGTGGAAGAGAGAAGGAAAGACAGAGAGAAATATTGATGTGAGAGAAACACATCGATTGGTTGCCTCCTGCGCGTGCCCCTGACCAGGGCCCTGGGGGGAGAGGGGGAGAAGTCTGCAACCCAACTGAGGTATGTGCCCTTGACTGGAATTGAACCTAAGACCCTTTGGTCCTCAGGCCGATGCTCTCTCCACTGAGCCAAACTGGCTAGCTCTTTACCCCTCTTTTAACCACGGGGAAACACAGATAAAGGACTTGCCCAAGGCCACACAGCCAGCAGGCAGAGGTGCTGGGATGTGAACCACGGCAGCCTGGAGAGCCCGCCTGGGTGTCTACTGTGTCCCCCTGTCTTCCCACCATGGCACAGGCTATTTGCCCCTTCCCTCGTTTGCCTTCCCCTCCAGGCTGGGGACTGCGGTGAGAGCAGGGACCCTGTCTAGTGGGTCTGCATCCCAGTGCCAGACAGAGCACAGCACATGGAGCTGTTAAAAATGTGAGCTGAATGGACACAGGACAGGTGGATTCTCTACATTCAGAGGAGAAGCAGGGCAGAGAACTGGGAAGGTGGGATGCGATCACAGATAGTCAGGTGCCCCGGAAACGAACCCAGACAGCCGGGCGCAGCGAGCGAGAGGTTAGGGAAGGTGGGGAGAAAAATCAATGGATTCCAGAAGGTGATGCAAACTCTGCTTGTACGGGATGTCACTTCCTTCCCACCGTGAACTGATCAATCACCGACTGAATCAAATCTGCAAGCATTTATTGAGCACCTGTGTGTGACAAGCTCTGCTGTAGGGGCTGAAGACATGTCATTGTCCCCACTCTGGGGCCACTGCCTGGAAGGGGAGAGGGTACAGGCACTGGCCATGAAACCGCATGTGGTAAATGCAGTGCTTGAGGGATCGGAGACATGCACCGAATCGAGCCTCGGGGATACAGCAAGGCTGCCTGGAGGAGGTGACCCCTGAGCTGTGTCTTAAATAAGGAAGTGATAGGAGAAAAGAAAGCAGAAGAACTCTGAGCTCGTATGAGCAAAAGTGTGGCAACAAGACACGGCAGGTGAAGTGAGGGTATGAAGATCCGAGTGTTTCTGGGGTCTAAACTTGCAGGCAGAGTGCCCGAGCTGAGGGTGGGGTTAGATTACGGGGGAACTTGACTTGATTCTCAAGGCTCCAAACTTTACCCTGAAGTGCCATTGAACATTTTGAAGCTGGCAGGGCACTGGTATGGTTGGAAGGCCAACTCTGGGAGAGAGTAGAGGATGGATTTGTAGGGAGCCACCCCGACAGGTAAGAGCCATGTCAGTGCTAAATGAACTAGCTGAATGGATGAAGAAGCTGCCAGTGACAAAGAGACGTGACAAGGGGCCGAGGGAAGGCTGTGGCTGCTGGGATGGAGCAGGCGTCGTGGGTTCTGTCTTCTCCACACGCAGGTGCCCATTTCTCAGGTGATGGCCCTGAGGCTGGCGGACCACACACTTTCATCAGCCGCAGTCAGCGCTGTCCCAGACCCCCTCCTCATGCCAATCCAGAGGGTGGACATGGAGGAAAGGAGGCAGGCTTTCAGCATTCCTGGTTCCATTCCTGCTTCTAACTAACCCACAGGGTGGTATAGGAAGGATTAAGTTTGTGAGGGGATTATCTCCTTTTTTATCCTTAAAATGAAAGAAATGAGAGGGGGCATTGTTTATGGTACTCAGACTCCTGCTCAGCAGTAAGGCTAGGTTCTGGGGAGAACACCAGAGGGGTGAGCCACAGGGAGCCTCAGGAAATGGGTGGGGTGGGTGTATATGTGACCCTTCCTTGGGTGCCTGATATATTGTTCATCTCTGCTGACAGGAGCCTTGGCCCAAGGCTCTCCTGAAATAGGAACCCTGCGGTAGGTAGGATATGTTAGGCTCTCAATAGGTGACACTAGAATTTTGCTTCTGGCCACCAGGGGGAGCTGATGCAGCGAAGATTCCAGAGGACCCTGAGCTTGGGGTTGATAGGGGGTCTAGTCTGTATACATGCTTCAGGAACTGTGTCAACTCAGGCTCCAAGGCGCAGGGAAGAACTAAGAAAGGTTTTTAGGGGACCATAGTTGACCAGGATCCTGGACGCCAAGATGAAAGATCACCTCAATGCTGCCGGAAACTCTGCAGGGAAGCCTGAGCCCCCCCCTCCCCCCCCAGGTTGGGGAGAGATGAAGGACTTCAGGCCTGGCCTTAGACCATGGCATCAGCATCCAAGTTCGAACTTCTGGGGCACAGAATGGGGCCGTGCCATAGGGCCCAGTTTATGGGGCTTTGGACTTGGGACTCATTGCTAGGGCTTCAGATTTAGCCAATAAAAATTACTTTAGCAAATATTGCATGGGACAAACTGACACTAAGACATTATTCACTGTTTATCTGAAATTGAACTGTTTTGTCTGGGAATGGGCAGAGCCATTTGCCATGACCCTAAAAGAACAGGAGGGGAGTCCATGGATCCCACTGTAGAGAGGACGGCACCCATCTCTAGGGAAAGAGGGAACACCTTTGTGAAGGAGGCTTCATCTAAAGGACCGATGTTTCCTAAAAATGGTTAAGGAGGCCCGGCCACCATGGCTCAGTGGTTGAGCGTTGACCTATGAACTAGGAGGTTACCGGTTCGATTCCCAGCCAGGGCACATGCCTGGTTTTTGGGCTTGATCCAGTGTGGGGTGTGCAGGAGGCAGCCGATCAATGATTCTCTCTCATCATTGATGTTTCTCTCTCTCTCTCCCTCTCCCTTCCTCTCTAATATCAATAAAAAATATTTTTAAAAAAATGGTCAAGGAAGAAGCCTCAAGCCAAATGGACAGGAGAGAAGAGGGTGAGAGCAACAGGGGAGGTACTGGGGCATACGTCACTGCGGCTTTGGGGGGTGGGGAAGAGGAGGGGTCTGCATATGCTTCACACGCAACTCTCCGGGAGGTATCAGGTTTGAGTCGTTGTAAGGAGAAGTCTTCTTCTCCCAGACCACTGTCTAATTCGGGAAGAGGGCGCTTTGTGAAATCAGAGCCTTTTTCTGGGAGCAAAGACGCTGTGAATCGTCATTGTCACTGAGTTTGCAATTTCCTCTTTCCTGTCTGCTATCCTCAGTGCTTGACTGATTCTCTCAAATAAGCATTTCCCCCCCCTGGAGTCGAGCTAAATTCCATTTGACTGGATAAATATCACCGAGCACCTACTGCGTGTGGGCACCATGCATGGGGCTAGGAGGAGGGAGACACAGGCCCTACCCTGTGTTCACCGAGCCCCAGATAATTCCAAGAACATCAGCAGTGTTTACCAGCTAGAGAGGTCCTTGATTTTAATTAGGAAGAGACAAACGGCAAGAAAATTACTGTAGTTAATGATGATGATGATAAAAATCCTTGTTATAGGAAGCTGACGTTTATTGAATACCTACTATTGAAATCTAAGCTCTTCCCATGTATAAATTCATACGATTTTTACAACAAGCCCCATGAGGTGGGTGCGGTTAGAAGCCCCATTCCAGAGATGAGGAAATTTCCCAAGTCACAGAGCTGGTAAGCAAGGAGTTGGCATTTCACCAGCTGAACAGGCAAAACAGCCTGACCCCTCTCAGCGGGACCAGGCACTTCTCCACGGTGCTGGCGTGCCCCCAAATGCAACTGCCTACAAGAGTGCCTCCCCTCAATGTCTCCCAGACCCTCGAATTTAGTATGTCCAAAATGGAACTTATTAACTCGTCCGCCTCCCACCCTCTGAACTTGCCTGCCCGTCATCCTATCTCCATACATGGCACCCCTGTCCACCCAGGTGCTCAGGTGAGAACCTCCTCTCATGCCCACATTCATTCCATTTGCTGTTGATTGTGTCACCCAAACCCCCAATTCCCAATCCATCGCTTCTCTCCACCCCCACTGACCAGACCCTGGTTCCAAACACCTAGAATTGCAGTAGCCTCCTAACTGGTCTCCCTGCTCTCACTCTTCTCCCTTCCAAACCGGTTTTTCACACAAGGGAAGAGTGAACTTAAAATGTAAATAGGACCATGCTGTGCCCTGCCTAAAACCTTTCAATGCCTTCCCGTGTAATGAGAATCCACTCCAGCCTTTAGGGTCCTGCCCTGCTCTCCAACCCTCCCCGTCCTCCTTCTTTCCTGCTCTGAGGACTTTGCTCCTGCTGTTCCCTCTCCTTGGAATGCCCTTCCCTTAGCTCTTTGCAGGGCTGGTTCCTTCTCATCCCTCAAGTATGAGCTTGAGTGTCATGTCCAAAGGAGGCCTTCTCTGTATGGAAAGGGTGGTATGCTCCTCTCATTTTTTCCTTCTTTTCCTTTTAATCCTCACCTGAGGATATTTTTCCCATTGATTTTTTAAAAGAGAGTGGAAGGGAGGGAGGGATGGAGAGAGAGAGAGAGAGAGAGAGAGAGAGAGAGAGAGAGAGGAGAGGAGAGACACATTGATTGGTTACCTCCTGCACACACCTGACCAGGGCTGGGGATTGAATCCGCAACCCAGGCACATGCCCTTGACC